AACTAATAGCTGGTCAGGCCATTCCACTTGTCATGTTTGAAAAATGGCAAACCAACAACACACAATACAAATTATTTAAACTAAGAGACACCAGATGTATAGCATTATGAGAACTGCAGAATGTGATGGTTAGGACATGAACCACGCTGGAAAGAACTAGAGGCAGGCTCCACTGGAAGGGCTTAAGAGTTGTCAGATGTAGTAGGGGACGTCAGTTAGAAAACGAAAAATAAAAACCTATTTTCATAATTTTTCCTTTGCTGGAACCCAGATGTAAGGCCCCGACTGTTCTTCTATGATCTGTTTCACTTGGTTGTAGATTTCTTCCAGTGTGTCTCCTTGGACAATAGCTGCAAAACATAATACGGCAATCAGCAATCATCTTTTCTAGCTCTGTAAAGAAACTAAGATGTTTTAAGCTCTTCTCCTTCGAGAGCAACGAAAGGATTTTAGATTGCTGAAGGAATGGACACCCACTGAGATCTCTGGTTTCTGCTGGGACTGAAGCAAATTGCTGATGGTATTACAGGACACCCAAAGCACTGTCCGTCCTGCTCAGAGGCCTGGGGTTAGGAAGTGGTTTTCCCTGTACTGCAAATGTGCACACATAATAAGGGGGTTTTTGCCCTTCCTAACTTCCTGTCAGAGTTGGTGTAAGTCAATTCATGTCTTCCAGCATTCTTTTTGGTCCAACTTTCACGTATGTTTCCAACATAAGCAGACAAGACAGTACAGAGCTGTGTCCTCATGCAGTCAGTCAGTTTGAGGCTGGCTTGATGTAACGGAGATGGGTGAACTCCTCAGTTGCATTCTGAAACCCCACAGAGAGGCCGGCAGACCTTTCCGTTTCTACCTGCTGGCACTAGCTTTGATCTTGGCCAGAAAGAGGAAGAACTCATTGAGTTTGTTTTCCAGTCAATAGACTGCACTTTCACAGGCAATAGGCCTTCCTTACGCAGTTAAAGTAGAATTCATATTCAGATTGTGTAAGTTTTATGTATTTTCTCCAAGGCTAGAAAATAGAAATGAGCCAATATGGAAATGTTCTGACATATCACAGTAAAGTATGGTCTGGTGAGAACGAGAAAGAAGTTTGAGCTGTTCATACCACACTTCAGTCTGAAATAGCAATCATCATGAGATAGCAACTTGTTTTTAATTATAATTGCCACCTCAGTGGTGATAATCCAAGAAATAAAGTTTAGCAGGAAAGATAATTTTGGAAGCAGACCAGAGGCACTCTTTTTTTGCATTAATACATTACTGATGCTTCCGAGCTCTGCCTTCATGCAAATTACTTCCTTTTTATTCCTAACTCATCCTTCTCATCTCTTAAAAACTTCCTCCCCGTCTGCAGCCCAGTGTCACAGTGCCTGTGGGAGGCGGCGGCTGTTCAATTATTACAGCTCAAGTGCAGTGTTCACAGCACAATAGCGCACTAGGAGGATTCAGAAATGCATTTGCAGTAAAAAAGGCCATAAGCTTCAGAATCTTACTTCTCTCTAGCTACATTTAACTATTTTTCCTCTAAAGCCTAATAAGAAGATGGACGTGCTCTTCATATGCTTCAGGGCAAAGTCTAAATCTGTTTAAGCTTAACCTGCTCAGGAAGTGGCTTTCAGTTATCCCACACAATGCGGTATTTTTAACAGATTAGAGAATGCTCACACATTCTCTTTTACCAGTGGAGTCATATGGGTAGGAGCCTCCACATGCTCCACGATTGTAATATCTTCAAGTACCTCAAACATTCGGAAAAGGACTTTTTCTCTAAACTGGATTATCAAGGACAGGAACCTAACCACAGGATGTTGCTATCTGCTTTTGTCAACAAAGCCTTATGCTTCTGAGAAACAAGAAGCATGGTCCTGAGCACAAGACCTCATAGAAAGGCCCATAACTTTTTGAAACATCTTGAATTTTGTCCCTTCATTTCCTGAAGAATTGCTAGACATGATGTCGCCGAGACAACCTGGCAGAACACCAGCTACTAACTACTAAATATTTAATTAATGTCTATTTAAATGAGCTCATTAGATAGGAAGCAGACATGACAACATATTAGTTTCCCGAAAACAAATCTGACATACTGGGAACTCATTTGGGAAGGAACTCTGTAATAGGAAGAATTTGCAATACGTGTTGAGAATCTCATAAATTTTTTGGTGCACGCAGATGAAGAGCTGTGGGAAGAGTGGGAAAGTTAGCAGCAGTCGTGGGAGAGAGTGACAGCTGGGGATGCAGCAGCAAAGAGGGAGGCGGACAGAAAAGGATGGACTCAAGTTGTTCAATGGGTGGTGCACGAGGCAGAGAACAAGAAGACTGAGACAGGGAGTCTCCTGGCTCCTCCATCTTCCTCCCATAAGGAGCTGCCATCCTCTCCTGTGTCTCTGCCCAGGTTGAGCAGATGGTTCAGAGAGAAGCTCTGAATTCACAGCTCTGCCACCATAAGAAGTGGAAGAAGAAACTGGGCAAGGGAGACGTGTCACAAAAAGGAGGTAAATGGAGCAGCAAATAGTGAAACACTACCAGACAGAGTGCAATAGGAGGGAAAGGAGCCAGTGTCTAGGACAGGAATAGACAAGGCTCTTTCCTGTCCTCCCCAAGATCAATTTCTACCCTCCTCAGCTTATCAGGCTCCTCCTATTGCAAGTGACAATGCAAAAAAAAATGAGCACAGCTTGAGTGCTTGCAGCTGATCCCTTGTTGTTACAGTTAGGTTCACGGCATGCATTCATTTGATTTGCTAGAGTACCATAATGCTGTACTGTCTAATTTCCAGAAGTTTAATTACTAAAATTCTTTACTTCCTGATTTCAAAAAATTAGAAAGTAATCACATTCTACAGAGAGTTTTGCTGGGGCAATCTTAGCTCTGCAATAAAAAGTTTTAAGCTTTCAATATATCAACAAAGCAAACATTTACATGTCAATAACTAGAAAAATAGTAAAGTTCTCATGATTTTAGGACCTAAATTAAGCTCCAGATAAGGTTTTGCATTTACTGAATTCATCAAACTGGTACCAACGTAGGAGTACTACGACTGCTCTATGCCTCAAAGCAATCGCAGACAGCCTGCAAACAAGATTCAGCCTTATCTTAACAGTGTGGCAATTACTTTGCAGCAAGCAATAAAATTCCAACTTGCAGAAGAGAACAGTCCCCCCAAAAAAACAAACCTGTGAAATGTTCAGTAAATTCTTGCTCCAGTTTCATGGCTCTCTCAAATGTCTTCCTGGCTTGCTCTTCTGTTAAGCGTTTATTCATTTCCCTGAGATTAAAAATATAATACATAAAAAACAACTATCAAATACTTAGGATCTTTTGAAACAAGATTTTAAATTGCTGTCTGAGCATTAACCCTAGCAAAAAGCTGAGACACCTAAGTAGAGACTATAGTGGGAATGAGCTGTTCTGATGCTAGGTTGCCTGGAATTCTGCATAGACAGCAGGATTCATTCTCAAGCACTCTTGATTTGGATTTGAAACCCCGTTTAAAAGTCCCCAGAAATTCAACTCAGGAAGTTGCATGAACAAAACAAATAATTAAATGTTGTTTAAAATACAAATATTATAATTTTCTTCACACGACCTGCAAGCTGGCTTTGAAATACACTGACAATCTCAAACAACTTAGCCTGGGGTACTTTGCTTTTACTCACATGATGTTTTCCACCGTTTTGGGTTTAATAAAAATGGAGATTGGGTACAGCTGGGCAATCTGCAACCTTTTGATCGCATTACCAGAAACATCAAGAATGCAATGTTTACCCTAAAAAGTAAGAGAGAGAAGGGAAAATGGTATTACGCAGAGTTCAACTCACAGCCATGTATAAGAATTTAGAAGCGAAAACGTGGCTCCACTGACGCCAGTGAAATTGAAGTATCCACATTAATAGTATCATGATTTCACCATGCTGGCCTGGGGTTCCACAATATTTTTGTGTTGAGGTCATCTGTCGTTTGAGATGTTCCTGACCCTTCATCCTTCCTTTCTCCACCAGAGGTTGCAGGCCAACCAACAATGCTGATTCATCCGAAGGAATAGCTGTACTTCAAACTACATCAGTAAAATGATAATTTCTTCCCCCCCCCACCTCCTTTGAGGATCTTTTAAGAACGTGGCCATCTCGCAGATCCAGTTTAGGGCAAAGCCAGATGACTTAACTGGCATATCTGAGTGAATAACCAACGCTGGTGGCATGGGAATTGGCCACCATCAGAACAGTCAGAGAGAACTGAACACAATCCCTTTCCTCCCCCTAGGTATCACACTGCATAACATCAGATTTGAGATAGTGAACGCAACTTGTTTGGGCTGATTATCTTTTCAGAAACAAGTATACCTTAATCCTTCCTTGGGCAGCTGGAAGAGAATGCAGCTGCTTTTCTCTTTCCCTCTGTTCTCCCACTACAGGCAACTCTCCAGCTCTCAGGGTTTCTCATGCCACAGCCTCTCCTGTTCCTCAGCTCCTCCCGTCTCTAACACCATTACTTCCTTTTCCTTCAAACATTTTTATTTCTTTTCTCTCTGGGCAGCATACGAGTAATTTGGGATCCAACATTTTAGAAAGGAATAGGGAGGAGGGGAAGGAAGAGAAGAGGAGGAAACAGCTCTTGGATGACTAAAATGAGAAAAGCCTTTTCTGTAGTAGGAGACCTGATAAGAATGACAGAATTCTGAGCCAGGATATAAACCCACAAGCATCATAAAACCAAAGGTTACTTATATCATGAAACACTTCCTGAACCTGTGCGAGACCAATCCTTGGAAGACACAGTAAAGAGCAAGGAAGCAACTGTAATTTGAAATGACTGAAACGTTTCTGCTTCACAGCAGAAGGGATCACTAGAATAATTTAGGCTTGACCTCCTGCACAACAAAGACCACACAATGTATTCCAGGAATTCTTACAGAGAAGTGAAACATTCTTCCAGCATAAACAGTACACATCTGCTTGTTTTCAGCTGGGGATTAACTGCTTCCCACCTCTTTGGGAATCACGTCCATGGATCAGGAGATTAACTGACACCATCTAATGTGTTTGTATGTTGTAGCAGTGTTTTACTACATGCGCTGACCTGTCCGCACCTTCTATACAGTATCTCTTTCAGAGTGGCATACGCTCTGGGAAATGAAGAACCAAAAAAACGTTATCTGGTCCATTTGCCATTCTGGGATAAGGCACTTAGTATTTTTGCAGAAATTGCTGTTTGGACCAACAACGAATGCCTGGATAACCGGTGCCAAAGCCTTTCTGGGCATAGGGTGGAGGACTAGACTGCTAGCATAGTACATGGGCTGGGCTTTATGAGATACGACTGTGTCCATTTATGCTAAATTAGTAATGAATGTGCATTAAGAACAACCTCACATGCACAGAGGTTAATAGTTCCAAAGAAAAGAATATATGAAAATTCCTTTCAGATGAAGATGTGGAAGACAAGGAAAATAAATGCAAGTAGCTTATGATATAATTATCATGCTTTTGTCACAGGAAGACATTATGCTCTTTGTTTACAGTAAATTTAAGTAGAAATTTTTTTTAGTTCCACATTTGTACTACATCTGCTTGAGAAACATAGAAGAGTACTCAGTGCCTACTCCAATAACTAAACAATGGTATCAAAAAGCATCATTAGCAGTTGCTGTTACAGGTGAGGGAGTTAAGAAGGATACGGATCAGCTGAAAGCATGGGTGAATGAACACAAATTAATGTGCATTGGTGTGCATAATGTTTTTAATTGCAAATCTGTTGCAAAAAAACTATTTCTGGTACTTTTTGGGTGGTAGCAGCCACTTATGCCAGGGTGCTGCCTGCATTCCTCATATAAAATACAGAAATGGCCTTTTGTATCCCCTCAGTAAGATTCAGTGAAGAGACTCATCTTCACAAGGGAGAAGGAGAAGTAGTCAAGGAAGGCACAGCCACTGAGCAAGGAGGTTGCACCACTGCCAAACCTCTGAAGTTAAGTCCTGAAGGACAGGCAACCACTCCCCCAAGAAAATAAAGTAAAGAGAGAAACTGCTGCAGCTACCTAAAGTCTAAAGGTGTCGGTGCAAAAGATTTAATAGCACAGAGGCAGCTGGCAGTACTTTGTTTTCATGGCAGTTTCCAAAAGATTCGTCATCATTCTGTCCCTTACTAAGCTACATCCCACTCGATGGGCAAAAAGGACACTGCCAATTTCAAGTTTAGGATGGACCCAAAGGAGTGTATCTGCGCTACCAGGTAAAGAGACGCTGACAGGTTTACGTTCAATAAATAGTTTCAACACTTAACCATATATGATTGTGGTCATCATTTAACCACATACTTTATTCAGCTTCCCATGCAGAGGACTGTTCATTTACTTTACCAATTCTGTAATTAAATTCCTTTTCTCTATTTCCTTCCTTATATACCAGTGGGCCAGGGTCTACTTCATACAGTTAGAAAGACAGCAGAATAAAACTTCATCGTATGAGCCGCAGAATGTCACCATGTTCTCCTCCGTTTTTCAGCTCAATAAATTACACTTTCCTGGAGACAACACCACTCAGCAACTTGGACAGAACGGGCTACGCTGCTTTCCAGAGGACTAGCTACACTCTCATTTCACACAGGTAAATCGCACTTACCCTCTGTGTCCCAATTGAAAGTGCCTACAAATATGAGTTCCCACACAGAAAACAGCTAGCTTTTCTTTCATACAGATCAGGTAATGGAAGGTGGAATTTATAGCAACCTTTGTTAAGAATTCTCACAAAGGAATTCTCTTTAAAATAAGCGTCTTAATATAAGAAATATGCTTTCTCCCTCCCACTTTTTTTCAGAGAGCTCGGTTAAAATTCAGTTTAAATTTAGAAATACTTTGATTTTGCAAAACGTGGTTAATGGAAATTTTTTCAAAATAAACAACAATTAGTAAAGTCAATCTTCAAAATTTAATGCTAATTATGTGAAAGGTCTTTCTAAAATCAAGTTTATTACATTCATTCTTTTCCTTTTGTCAACCAAATCTGTTAAGAGTAGGAGAGAACAACACTTTGGCAAATTTTCTTCTACACACATCCATACCAAGTGTTAATCATATTAAACAACAACATCATCAACACTATTCTTCATTGATGAACTGTGCATGCAACCTAGGCTAATTAGCCTGTGATTCTAACGATATCTGCTCTGCTCTCTGTCCATAACAAAGCATGAACCATGGTTGCTCTTTTCCAGTCTTACGGACCCTTACTTATTCTGTGTGAATTCTTCAAAATAATCACCACGGAATCAAAAACTGCTCCAAGTAGTTCCCTTAGATATTTCAATGTAAATTTAATCAGATCCTGCTATCTTTATTCTAAATTAGATTAAATTAGAAAAAAAATTGTTGTTCTGCTCAGGTTCATTCTCCTTGACCACAGTCAGCCTCTGTGTTTCAAGAGCAAAAAAAACCCATAAAGCAAAAGCAATACTGATCACTCCCACCTTCTCTCATCATTTCTTTCTCTGGAAGACTCACTAAATAACAGGCTGACACTGTATTTCTTTTTGTGCTTAATCCTGTTCTGATTGCCTTTCAAAGCTTTCCTATTTCGACAGATGCGCTGGGGACGACGTGCTTTGTTACTGGTTTTGTAGAAATTCCTTTTCAGATCAGAGGGTTCCTAACGGCTTCTCGTCATTCATCTCTTTTCCCCTGTCAGCACAGTCAGAAAATCACTTGAAAAAAATGAAAGTAAAATTGGTACTGATTTACCTTTTCTGCTACTTCTCGCACTGACTGGACACTTGTGCCATAAAGATGATTATTGTACTGGCCAGCTTCAATGAATTTGTGATCCTGAATATCCTTCTCCATTTGCTCTCGAGAAGTGACAAAATGGTAATCACGTCCATCCACCTCATAATCTCGTTTTGGTCTAGTAGTATCTAAAGATAAATCAGTAATTTTTACAGCCAAACAGAAAAGTGACTTTTTCCCCTGCAATATGCAAAAGCAGTCTTCCATTTATACTGCCAAACTGTTCTTAACTGAGAGACGACTACCCATTAAAATAGTCCTAAAAAGCTTAGACAGTACAATGTTAACATGTTTTAACTCAACACAGAGAGGATAAACAACAGAAATAATCCATTCAGCATTACTCTGAGTATTTGCTGAGACTTACGTGGAACACAGGAGCCAAATTTGTCTGGAAATTCTGAGATCAGATCATCATTTATCCTGTCTTTCATGGGTCCCAACACAATCACAGGTCGAGTATAATTGACTATTAAAAATAAAGCAATAACATCAGTTATATTACAGTATGATTGCTAAGCTTTAAATTTCAGCAAAAGAAGCTTTATCAAATGGGAATGGTTTTAATATCTAAAAGTACGTACGTACACCTAGGGAGAGAAAAAAAATATACTGAAGAATATACATTAATAAATACTGAAGTCAAAATGAGATGTTAGATCTTCACCCTCAAATCACTACTTCTGGTGACTGAAGATCAGTTTTGGATTATGAGGTCTTTGAAAAAAATCTTCTTAAAGTAACAGGCTTCATTCTAATGAAAATAGCATAAGGGGGAAGTCTGAAACCTTTACGCTTCAAGGAAGTACCAAAGCAGAAGCAGAGTTATTGAAATTCTAGTTCTCTGTTGGGAAAGCCTCTTTTTTTCTTCTAAAACCACAGCTTAAACATCTACATGTGAAAATACAACTGCAATGCCTCTAACTGCTAACACCTTTATAAAATGAAGTAAAAGAAGCTTAAGTCATTACAAAGTTATAAATGGCTTTTGGTTGCAATTTAAGGACAAGTAGAAGATACCTAATTATACTGGAAGTTCCATAGGAGGCAATAATGTCTAAGTAACTAAGCATTAGCATATAATTTCAGTTGTACGTATTTGGCTTTTCCGGTTGAATGTGTCATTACTGCAGGAAAAAAAAGCCCAAATTAAACAAAGTTTGGCCTATAAAATATATTTCAATTTGACTTCTGGAACTAGTTCATTTCAGTGGTATTAAAAGATTGACAAAAGGCATGTCTTGGATCCAGCAACTGTTGATTTGTTAATTCAACAACAAACATCTTTGCTTAAAGACTTAAGGCCCACTAGTGCCTCAAGTCCTACTAATGCCTCAAATTCAAGCATCTTTAAATCTATTTTGGTCACTAGTTCTTTATTTCTCTGGGCTCTTTAAAAATATACAGATTTATTGTGAAAGTCAATTAGCGGACAGCTGTGGTTAACACGTGCAGAGAACGCATTCATGCAGGAAAAGGAAGGAGGTGCTGATTCTTTTATGGCCTTCCCTATACACTATGCTGAAGTTTTAAAGGGAATTACAGTCATGTATTTAAATGTTTGAGTACATAGTTATTTAAAGGATTAAGCACATGGCTCTCCTAAAAATCCTGACAGTTTTACAATACTGCAGTTACAAAACATCAGCTTGTGCAAACAGTGATCCATATCTTTCTTCTTCAGTCTTGATACATGATTCGTCTGAAATTACTTTCATTTTCACTAAACCTTTTTCCATTAAGCCATCGGGATCTGAGAAGGCGATACCAGCTAAAAAGTTGCCTCTCATTTTGGAAGACTCTGGCTTGCAAGCATGCACAGGACCAGCAGCAGCTTATTTGAAGGTGATAAACCTCCAGTTCACTAGCCTACGGGTAGCTTACCCAACACACTGAAGAAGGCCAATCATTTCTAAACATTTCTCCATTTCTAACATGGCCTTGTTCGTGCATTTCTCATCCATGACTTTATCAAGAGCCTGTCAAAATCATGATTTATACGATCTAAATAATTTAGTTTGTATTAATCTTGTGTAATACCTTTTATTTCTTTCTGAAGCTTATTGGGGAAGTGGAACCCAGGTGATAAGCTTAGTAAGCTGGAGCAGAAAGTCTGTACGTGCATGTTCCATAATGCTACTTAAAAGCAACTGGGCCATGCCACTCATTGCACGAAACCAAAATGAAACCTTAACCATCAAAATACATGTAGATACATGATATGCATTTACTTAAATCGTCACCGGATTTTATATGGAATAGATATCAATTATTCTCAAAAGGCATCCCTTCTACAGATTAATTACAAATATATATCAAATGATGAAACTTAACTGTTAGCATCCCTGAAGGGGAATGGGAATAGTAAAAATTTTACAGCCATTATACATGCTGAAGCAAAATCAGGACCAAGATGAAAAAGAAAGTGACAGGATCCCATTAGAAATCTCTGCAAAGCATTTTATTTAAAATGTGTGATAAAATAAATCATTTTTTCCTAGCAATTTCCATTTTGATTTTACCGCATTAAATAGCCATGTTTGAAAGCATGCATTCTTATTTTCAAAACATTTTCTTTTCCTGAAAAAATTTCAGTAGGCAATTGCTGACCAGATTAGCCATGTAAGAAGCACATAGAGAAATGGGAGAAGAGACTACCATCTTATACAGACACTTCAGTTAAAGCTTACTGAAACAGACAGACAATCCATTGACTGCCTTTTTTGCTGTGCCAGAAAAAAAATGGAACAGCAGAGAAAATTCTAAAGCAATATGAAACAAGAAAGCAAAGCAGGATTTTGGGTGGTTCAATTTGATGAAACCATTAAACACAGCATACTTTACTTATGCAGTGTAAGCAGCATACAGATAATGATAAGAAGTTATCTTAATGAGCACACATTCAGATCACATGCCAAATCAATTTAGCAATTGCATTTTAGGCCTTTATGATTTATTCACTTGACTAACACTAACAGTTCAAAAACAGTAAGTTTATCATGGTGTGCAGTATATAAAGCCACCTGAAACATTCTGATAATTCAGACAGTATTTATTTTATATTAAATGAGATCTACAAACCTTCTTGCTGATTGACCGGTTCATATGACAAGACATATTCCTCCTGGCCGCCTAAAAATGTAAACACAAAGAAATATCTATGTGTTATTTTCTAAACCAATATATTTAAACTGACTCCTTTAATGAACCATAATGAGATACAGACACTGCTCTGTAAAATATACATTACAACGATATTGATGCAGGACATTTTCCAAGAGTGATGAATTATAAAAATCACAAAGATAAGCCAAACAAAAAATTTTGAAGCATAAGACATATACAGTTTAAATAATTTCTTTGCATATGTTAGCGTGACAAACTGACGTCAAGCACAAGAACTCTGAAGCATTATTCAAATGCTGTTATAAATGTCTTCCTGAACAAATGCATGCATACTATCATTCACTGCTAGAGGCAAAGACACCTTCATCACGAGCATTTTCCAAACTATGAAGTCAGGTTTTAAAAGAACATTTTTCTATTTTTACATAGAGCTGAAAATCATGTTTTGTCAAGGTATGCATCTGTTTCATGACTTTTTTTCCATGAACTGGCACAAATACAAACACCTTCAACCCTTCTAATTCTACAAATAACAAATATTATGATTGTGTATACTGAGTAACTATTATTTGATTCTTGACTTTTTAAAGATGTACTTGGAAACAAAGAGTGCTTTGTATTATTCTCAGCTTCAGGAAGCACATCAGCAGTGAATGAAACTAAAATAAGTAAAAGTTGACCCTTTGACAGCTGCAGGCTTTTTAAAAGTTAGTGAAAGCATCTGAAATATACCTCAGTTGCCATCTCTCTTAAAAACATTTTTAGTTCAACAAAATGTCTCAAAGTAAGATTTCTTGCAGCAGAACTCTAAAAGTAAATTGCATGATAGCAAAGAATTTAGAATTCTGAAGATGCAAGCTCCTTATTATATGACATCACTGTGAAGTTTAACTAAAATAATGTCCCAATAACTCACTTGGGGAATTTTAGAATCTTCTTTGGAATTCGTGAGCCATGCTCATAACAGGCAAAGAAACATACCAATGCTATACCACGGCTGCATAGAAATGGATGGTGGATGAAGACTTTTACAAATTCATCAATTGCTTACATATGTTTTCCCTATTCCAAAGCAAAGACTATGGATATTGCAATTCTAAATTTTACAGTCTCATTAAGAATAATTAGATTTATCTTATTTGCAATAAATCTGTGTTCAAATTGTATCACAGCAATACATTAATGAACACAATTTTGATTTTTTTTCCCCTGGTTATTGCAAGTGAGGAATATGTTAAGACAAACATGAAAACATGCAACCAGTATATTTTAATATCTCAAAAAGTTGCTCATGCAAATGAATTTCAGAAAGACAGTATATACTTTCAGAACCTCTTTTAGGCTAGGGAGAGGAATAGTGAATCACTCAACCACCAACTCATCTACAAAAGATCCAGCTCACATGTAATTAGATACTTTTGCAGAGAAGTCACATTACTACAACATCAGAAATTAGGTAAGCAAAATGTTAAAGAGATAACAAATACAAAGTATCCCCTGATTGAGGGCAAAAAGTATATATTGTCACTGCTTTTCGATACTTTGGAAAAAACGAAGATTAATAGCATGAACCTTTTGAACAACCGTACTCATCTGTAATCAAGATAACTTTCATATTAGACAGCAGTAAGAAGAAATTAAAAAAATATCATTTTAATAAAAAGTGCTTAGAATTACACATTCAGATAAGAAAATGTACGACATTCATAATGAAATCACTGGGCTTCTCAAGTAATAACAGAGTAAAAAACTGCCTAGTACTACCAACAATGAGCTTTAAACGTAACTATAACAAGCTCTGACAAAAACCTTAAAAAAAAAACTAGGAAAGCTACAAATTTAAGGAGAAAGTGGCACGGTGAGACAATTTGACCAGTACGTCTTTACATAAGTGACTAACTCAGGAATTTTGACAAAAGCGTGTGTGCGACTGCATGAGTGTGTACGTGTGTGTGTGTGTATGTATATGTACAGACCCATACACACACAGATTTTTTATGTAATCGGTTTCTTGTCAATTACAACTCTATTAGTATTGTAACCGCTGGGGAACTTTTGTACCTACATAAATTCTCTGGAGTGTATTCATCAGTAAGAAAAATTGTTAAGCAGCTCGTTGTCTCTGAGCAGATTGAGAGCTTCCAAGCAAATATACCTGTTAGAGAAGCACTCTCCTTATTACCCCCCCAAAACGATATCTGTTTCTGAAGCATCCACTTATGTGGTTAGTGGGCAACGAGGAGCTGATCAGCAAGCCAGACAGCGTCATGCTGCGTGTATTTTACTGTTCCTTCACTCTTCGTCTCCACACCTTTTTCATCGTCCTGCTCTGCTCTGTCCTGGCTGCCAGGTCTGGGCTCAGCTACCTTACTGAAGAGCTGCTGGCTGGCACTCACTAGCACAATCGCAATTCAGACTCTGGTCTAAGACAATACTTCCCCCTCCCCTCCCCTCCCCTTTTTTTAAGGCATTGCAGAGCAGCATCGTACAGCACATTACCCAGTGTGAACACGTAGCACTGCTGCAGTTTGGGTAATAAAATAGCCAATTCAGTCTAGCCTTTAAAAGATACTAGGCCTTCAAAATGAGCTAGAGAGCTTGTCATGCTAATTTATCATAACTGACTCTAGCACTGAAAGCGCGTCACGTTCCTTGAAGATAATTCAAAGCAAGCACCCACACTTCACAAAATTGGTGACAGCTGAAAAGCAAGGGTACATACATGTTTGCTCATCTTCACTTTTATTAAAAGTATCCACATATTAAATGTATCAGTTGTGAAAAACTATACATGCAGTTACTACATTACTTAACAGGTTACGCAGTTTAGTAAAGCTCCCGGTATTAACTCAACTAAATATAATTCTATTTGTCAAAATTAAATTTGGTTTCTAATGGATCTAGCTAAACTGACATCATTTATAAAAATTAGGAATTGATTCAAATTATCCTGAGTTAATTTTAGGTCAAAATAAAAATATCCATAAAGGATGATAAACATCAAGGTTCTCAGCGAATCTCCCTAGTTATTTAAAAAAAACAGAATCAAAATATAGGCAGAGCAACCTTGCAATACACCAAACACACATACAGATTTCACCTGAAGCTACCTGGGAAGTTTTGTTCAACATATAAACATCAAGAAAAGACAGACAAACAAAACCAAAGAAAGAGGTATTAAACAAAGGTTCTAAATAAACAAAGAACTTAAAAACAACTTACGGTAACTACTTTCACTATCGCTGGCATTAGAGGTTACATGCTCTGAAATTGCAACACAACGGAAAAATAAGGAACGCACACTAATGGCATGAGTACAAAAGAAAACAATTTGACAAAAATAATCCAGATGAAAGACAATACTGATCCCATCAAAATGCTGAAATCAATACACGCTGCATATAAAAGTTTTAAGGTACTTCTCATAGCTCTCAGGATCAAGCTTAATTTCATACAAAAGGAATGGATGTTAATAGAAGGAAAAACATTAAATAGCACATCAAAATAAGATTATGAAAAGTACACTAATTCATATGTCATATGCAAGCCTGTAATTCTGGGGCTCCCACTTCAAGATGAATTCGGTTGGGTAAAAACCATGGGATTATATATTTCAACTATATTATTAATGTAGGCAATTTACTAATTATATGAAGACTCTAGGAGCAGAAAATACTGGAATATATTCCAGGAATATAAGTTCAATAATAGACACTATTCTATAGTATATTAAATAATTTACCTAAAACGCAGTGCAAAATTAAGGTTTGGTTTTTTGTTTTTGTTTCTTTTTTCCCCCCTTCCAATCATGCTTTAGTTTTCAAAAGTTGTTAACTTCTACACTGGAGCATAAATATAAATCCCACATCTCTTGCATAATAATCAAAACATTTTACTAGCTATAGGGTGCTTATATTTACTTTTTTGAGCTATGGTTATAACAGAAAATGCTAAATGAAAGTTTCACATGTTTATGACAATAAAAATTAACGCAACTGAAGTATTTACTGGTATGAATCTATTCTGTCATCTGAAAATTGTACAAGCCTAGTGCATAAATACAAAATTTGACATTCCTGAACTTTATTGTAAAGAATCAATTTTCAAGCCACGAAATAAGTCCATTTCTAATGATAATCACTGGTGTTCGCAGCTTGTGACTGCATAACATAAACTTATGTTTGACGTATACAAATTAAATACAATTAATTTTGAAAATAGAAGGCTAGCTCTGTGCATATGATACTAGAGACTGTTGTCACAGAAAATCCTCATAATAGCTTCATTTCAGTGTGTTTCCTCCACTACAAAATTGAAGAGAAGGAAGCAAAGGGACCCTGAAGGAAGGAATACAGGCACGAAACCAGAATGCCTGTAGCGATTAATAAACGTAATAAAACCGTTACAGACGTTGTAAGTAAACTGATTAACCTGTTAAAATGTTTTTGGAAAAAGTGAACCAATATGCTTAAAATGCAAATCTCTGACTTGACTGAACTCTTTTACTGTTTCAGTGTAGGAAAGGCAGAGAGATATTTTCTAACATTGGTGAGCATCGGCAGCTTGGTCCTGCTGCCATTCCATCCTCTGGTCTCGGACAAAGAACGCCCACATTGGTGTGCAAGATGCAAACAACGATGTTTAAAAGCTGATGGCAGAATATGAAAGAATTGTCTTCCAAGGGAGACATTCCACTAGTCAATTAAGAATAACTAAGTGCGGTGATAATCAGATAACGGGCACAATTTATGAAGATGCAAGACTGAACTTCAGTTTGGCCTGAACGCCAAAAACAGCATTGGTCTTGCAGAGCTCAAGCAGTAGAGCTTGCATTAAGCACAGTAAGGTAGCGTCAAGAAGTCTGACTGTGCTGAAAACAAAGGCTAGCAGCAGCCATTTGTTTTTATAACAGAATCATCTGGTGAAATTTCTGGATCATGTTACAAAGGAGTCCAAACCAGACATGATCATAAGGCCATAAAAGTTGGTTATGGTTGGTGGTTTGCTCTAGGCCAGGAAATCTCCTTACAACTAGTTTCAGAAAAGTAATTTTATAACTATCAGTATATCTGTTTAGTGATTGAGGTCAAGTATAGAAATGCACCACCTTTTCCAAGCAACTTCAGGAACACTGTGCCTAATGCAGGGGTCAAGGGAGGAGTTATACTCCGGGAAGAAATGTTATCTTTACTGACAGCTTTACTGTCCCAGAAATGCATGATAACCTACATATTTAACATCCGTGATCAAAGCAAGATCTTAACATTTTTACTTGACCTATTGCTTTAGTACAGTAGTGGTGTCCGTGTACACAAATTAGATCTGCTAGAGTAACCAGCAGCTTTCAATCTTACTACCCTCAACTGAACAGAAGCATGCAGTTCTGCAGGCAATGCAACCAATGCTTACTGCAAGTCTCCTATTAGCCACCTCCCTACATGATCAACAGTGATTTAAGAGCATCGTAAGAGTTCAGATAAGTCAGATGGAAAAGCCCTCATGTCATCTGTTAAATAAGTCTTTTTTTAATAGCTGTAAACAACAGTCACCTAGAGAGAAAGTTGAAAACTGCAACTAGTTAAAATATTATGGCAGTGTTTGTACCATTATTGCAAAAAGACACAGGTTATTTTTAAAAATAAACACAAAACCAATGTAAGAATGACATCAGAAGTATATCAACAAATTTACAATCACAGTCATTATCAAGGACAAACAAATAAGCATAAGTAAGCTTCTGAACAAAAAAAAAAAAACAAACTGTGATAATCACATGAACTTAAAAGAAAGACGTTCTCGAAAGCAAAAAACCCCAGAACATTTCAAACTAGAAAAAGCTTATGAAACATTTTTAGAGTTAACCTCCTTATGCCAGTAGAGCACCAGTCTCAAAGAGATCTGCTAAAAAAAAAAAAAAAAAAAATTTCAGATGGAGGTTAAAATAATTTGGGAGTATTTTGATCACTTACTCAGGCCTTTTGATCCCATGTCGTCAGGGACCTCCTGCAGAGTAGTCCCCAGAGGGCAAGCAATAAAAAGACAATCACAAAGAAAATAATTGTCAGTAATATATAAAATCGGCGCTACGACAGGAGACAGTTCCCAGAACATCACAGGGGAAGAAAAGTCTATCGGATTTAAATAGATCGGCCCGTGAAGTGTAATCGCTGAGGCAAACGGCAGAGCGTGCAGCTTAGAGCGGACCTGGTCTGCATTACCCAACTAAGGCAACTGCAGTTGGAAAAGATACATTTTTTTAGTCCTGGCAACAGCAAATCAAAATAGCCTCTGTTCATTTTAAGCAAACCGAATCAGAATGGAATGACTTTTGCACAATCGATCTAAAGGGCCGGCTTCGCGAACGCTGTAAGCCTAGCAGCACTTTCGTTGCTGCTGTGAGTCCTCCTCAGAGTCACACGGGAGGAACCGCTACTGACAGCGCTGGAAAGTGGCCACCTCCGCCAGTTTTATCTGTGCTGTTATTCCACGCTGTTATCCAGTTCATTTCAAACTGGGGTACTCCTGGGTTGCAAACTACTTTAACAGCAGAGAAATAACTTCATTGCGCTGACAGATTGGTTTGTCATTTGCACTGAAGGTTCGTTAGCCTGCTGCAGCTCGTGAAACTGTCTCCACGGTAACACCCTCCTGCGCCTAGCCGGCCCTGCTACGTGCCGGTGCTGTCCGTCCAGTTCCACGTACTTACGGTCAATATCACTGGTTTCCTGCTCACTCTGGTCCTTGTTCTTGTAGAAGGGAAATTTTCGGGAAAAGAGGTTCTTTTTACGCTTGTCATTGAATGACTGCTGAAGAAGAGAAGGAGGGGCAAAACAAAGGATGTCTAATGTCCGTGTGAACAAAGGCCCAGACCAGCAGCTCGGTGGAAGCTGACTCCTACAACCACCTTATGCAGTGCGTATTTCAATTTAACAGTAGCTTCCCAGCTCGTTAGAACTAGAGATCGGGGTCACAGGTTTGCCCGCTCCCTCTGTTTCACATGTTCACTACCCCAAGAACCGGCAAGCTGGTTTAACCTATACGGTCTGACCTGTATTTCACAAATTTAGGCTTCTGCTGAGTGCCGAGAGAGATGCGAACAAGTAGGCTGCTAAAAGACAGCCAAAGCGTAATGAGCTCAAACAAAACCAACTCAATCATTGATATTATCTGATGGAAGGGTTACAACAATTTAAAAAAAAAAAACGCCAAGGCTTTACACATGCTTTTGCAAACAGCTGACATCCTAATAGCACAACAAAAGTATTTCCCGGTGTTACCCGTAAGCAAAGGCAAAACTGTAAATACTTTGGCGATAACTACTAAATAACATAGTAACCATATCGTAAAGAAAAAGAAAGTTAAAGCTGGCATTGCACTGAATTATCTTAGGGTAAAACTAAGGAAAGTAACAGCGAAATAGGAAAAAAAGAAAAAGAAGTGTGTCTAGTTAAAATATCCAGCAAGCAATTAAAAAAAAATACGTATTTGTTTCAGTCTCTCATAATTGCAATTCATTAGAAATTTATTGGAAGAAATGACTTTGCTCTAGGAAAGTCTGCATACCAATACCAAGATTCATTTTCAAAAGACACGAACTTATTTCACTCATTCACTGTGGCAATTATTTTTCAGGAGTTCATTTATAGAGAATTAGCACAGAAAAAAAACTGTATGCCCAAGGATCACATTTAGCAACATCTAAAATATGACACTGATTGTTACTGCTGCTGAAGAATTTCTGTATCTAAGTTGATATGAAAATTTCTTCAGTTTTTTATATATATATATATCTATAGATATATAGAGATATAGCTATACACCCAGCCATTTGAATTTGAACTATTATCATGCCTCTTGCCTAAGCGATGGAGAATATGAATGTATTTCCATATGCATACATATATATATATATGTATATAGGTGTCAGTAACCTAGATTTTAGTAATATCTGTTTTGTCTTCTCCTGAGAACGTTATGCGACATATATTATATACGAATCACCTTTAGCTTGCAGGTTTATGAAAGGCAAATAAAAAAAGAACTTTAACACAAAAATAAATCAGTAACACGTTTTTATTGCAACGAGGCACAGAGTTAACACAGCTAACTTGAAGCTAGCTGAAATCTGTTTTATATCTAGGCATAAGTGAACTATCCAATCAGTTTTGCCAAGACATGAAATCTGCCATATTTGTGGCATCTGGCTTGCAGAAATTGTGTTACTGGGGAGGACAGCAAAAGTGAGAAAGCGCCCAGCTTGGTTTTGAGACCCTGTGTTGCACAGAGAATATTTATTTCTAAGCCAAACGCATCTGACATGCAGCAGTAAGTAATAAAACTTCCACAGAACCTTTTTTTAAACAGCTGCTTTTTAAAAGAAGCAAGATACTTTCAAATCATAAACATTCTATTAACAGTTATTTCTAAAATATTAAGCATGATACTTCTCAAAAAATTGGCTAATTTAGTCCAGTGTGAGCTCCCCTTCCCCTACTATATGCAATATGGTGGCAAGAGTTGCACTTACTGCCTTTTCTGTCAGCGGGTAGTATGGAATGACATATAGTAACAATTAGGAGTGGAATGGGACTAAACTTTTTCAAACGGTTGGTGACTTTTTTAGTGGAAGTACCAAGCTAGCATTTGGCCTTCCTAAAGAGAATGCCTACAGCGCAACACACAGGCTGCGTCCTACTGCAGCGCTAACATCCTTCTGGCCATCTGTTCTAATAAAAGACTTGCTTGGAAACATCAGATCCTGAAAAAATCCAGTAATGTTTTCACTACCACCGTTTAAGAAAAGTGTATTTAAAATTACCAGGTGTTAAAGAGGCACATGGCACAATGGGAGCACAATGGGTGACGATGCTATTGAGCTTTGGAAATAGCAGTCCTGTGTTAAACAGGAAATCCATAAAACCCTTAATCGCTTGGCATCTGTGTTTAACCAAACTTGGCACTCTACTGTAAGAACTGGAAAATTATAAACCTGACATACGGACAAAAAAACTGGTTTCAAGCCAGTCATATGCTCACAGGAGCTATGGCTGGCACGGGCAAGTTTTGGGTTACAGTCCTCTTGAGCCTTTTTATCTGAAATCAGCATGTCATTGCAATTGATTTCTCAAAACCACAAACATGACAGTAATCTACAGAATAAAGGCAACAAGAAAGTATGCCTAAAGGAGAAGATTTTTGCTGAGCATATTGAAAAACCCTAATTTGATTTTCAGTAGGCGAATGCCTTGCATCTATATAATTGTCCCATATGGACAAGTACCTCAGTTTGGGCAGAAGAATAGAGGAGACAAGTGCAACAAAGCTGAAACGGTGCAGCTTAACCGAGGTGGTAAGGTTCTGTGATTTGGAGAATTAAAATAAAAGGAATGGCCAATTTATTGTACCTCATAAAACATATACAGATTCTTCATCTTAGCTTTGAAAATATTTCATAACACTAGTAACTTTTTCTATAGTGAAACTTACTGAACTAAAATTTTGTTTTATATAATGCATGTATAATGGTCAGAGTCAGTTCCATTGCAAAAAAAAAAAAAAAAAAAGAGAGAGAGAGAGAGAGAAGTTAGAAGGAATATTGTACTGATTTTGAATAAAAGATCAGCCAAAAGATTATTTTTAAAAGATACTAAGATGATAAAAAAGCTAGAGAGAATTGCTTATTAGTTGTAAATGCATATTAATTGTACTAAATTTTTCACTAGCCCACTGCAAACCATGAACAGGCACCATAAGCAAGAATACCTTAAAACAGAAGCAGTGCAGAAGTGAGATAAAATGTGTATATGAAAGAAAAAAGCAGAAAAGCAAAAAAAAAAAAAAAAAGGAAAAGAAATAAAAAAAATTTCTTTGCTTCAGTGCCAAAAAGTTATATAAGATTTTAATATTTGCCATCATTAGCGTTATTTTTTAAGGTTTTAATGTAGAAATTTTGAAGCACTGTTCAAAGTTGGTATTTTATACTGTCCTTGGAGTATAATCACATACAGACACAGGAACGCACAGAGTTTATGAATGCTGTAGATAGCTTACAGGGAAAAATACCAACATGACAAAACAGGAGGAAAGAATACTTTAAAGAGGAAATCATAATGTTAAAACATTTACAGCTGAAGCAAAAGACTGTGAACAGCATAAGCGTGTTTGTAAAATGAAATGTTACTGGAGAAAAAGAACCGCAGTTGTATATCAATGGCAAGCGTAGTTGCTTTTCCACTCAGTATTCCATGCATTTTTGGGGTGCTGTTAGTACACAGCAACCGTGTACTAACGCTGCTATCATCAGTAGGCTACTCCAAATAAATAGTTAACTCTTTACAGTTCATCGGTAGACAAGGTACAAAACCATGCATTTATCCTTCAAAGAACATCAAAACATTTGAAAAATTATTTAGCGTAGCTGAAATAATCTAATGCATTTAAAGCATTTTTCTTTATGTGACTTTCACCTACTGGGCATGGCAGTTAACATGCAAGTTTACCACTGTAAAAAAAGTAATTTACAAACTGCAAAAAGGTTACATCCTATAAAATTAAACAGTGAATTGAAAATATATACAAAATCAGCTTAAAAATTATCACATCAGTTGATAAATGTATTTTATTGAAGTATGAAAATATAAATGTACTAATGCATAAAAAACAAAAAGCAAGCGATCCAAAGGAATCCTCAAGGCAATATTGCCATTGTTCATCAGAAAAATCACTAAAGGTATTGGTTTCCTTTTAAATAAATAATTTTGTATTAAAAAAATTAAAATTTTATTAATTTAATGTATTAAACTGAAACCTTTACCATGTAAAAGAGGGATGCAAATATGAATCTGAGTGTCTTTTAAAGTCCTACACTATCATGATTAAGTATAGAAGCTTTAATACTTTATCTGTATAAGACTGATTTTTAAATTTATGAAAACATTGTAACTGAAATAAATGACAAAAGGAATCTCTAGCATCCACAGTAGTGACTGACTAATGTTACAGCATCAGTGCTATTGAAAAAAAAATCTATTTAAGAAATAGCTTCCCTCAAGAGGTTGAAGTATATTTCAAATTTAAAAAATGACAGTAATATTACTTTAGAAGGCTCTTACGTTTAAAATATACATATCTAAGTCTTGAAATAACTGGTTGCATATTATTGGTAGAAATTATTAGGTTGTCATTTTTTTCCTGAAATTTCAAAATGACCAAATCATTGAGAAAAATTCTCATTCTCTTAAAAAACAAAAAATGTGGCTGCTTTACCATTATGAAATTATTATAATTTAGGGTACAGACATTCCTATTGCCACTTAAGTTGTTACCTCGCACTCTTATCACTCTTATCCACTGCCTCATTGCATGTACTGGGACAGAGTTTGTGTATCATGCAGTGAACTGGACTACAGAATTAAAATTAAAACTCAAATTTCCTTTGGGCTAGGTTATTTTTCCATCTGAAATGGTTACTTTATATGATTTGGGCACAGCCACATCAGTATTTGTGTGAACTAGGAGCAGGGGTGAAGAAGGTTTAAAAAAAATATGCCCATACAACTAGCCCTTCTTCCCCCCTGGAAAAAAGCAAAAAAGCTTTGAGGTGGAGTCTTTTTGGTTGGCAGTGGAGTTAGCTTAGACCTACGGCCTTACCTGAAATTCTTTAACACTTTTGCATCCGTAATTGTAACAGAACTTACTTGATACTGTCTGGCTTGTTACTGTACCTCCTAAAACCTCATTTTATCATAGGGACCGCAACAAGCTCATTGCTTCTGGCAACAGCACTATTCAATATTTGATTAATATCTATAGTTCCTACTACATTACATTATTAATGATAATATATATTCCTAACCTAGTTTTTCAAACAATTTGCAGTGTTATGGGAATGGTTTATTGTTTAAGTTATTTTAGTTTTCATAATTATTTTATTTCTATTTGATAGGATTTAATCCTTTCACTTAAAAAAAAAAAAAAAGAGAACTGAGCCTGCATATATAAACCATAAAAATATTACCATTCACAACATCAGGTATAAGGAGCACTTCGCAAACTTACCCCTTTATCTCCTCTTGTTTTGGAGTTGAATTTCACTGTCTTTAAACGGGCTCGTTCTTTTTTCTCAACTCTACCAGGAAAGGACAAAAGAAAGTTCAATCAGTAAAATTCCAGCAAAAATCTCAGATTGCTACTTGTGACAACCTAAGCATAGAGTTTACCTTTTGTAGTACAGGTTTTTGTTACTAATGACACCTTTAGAAAATGGCAATCTGCTAACAGTAGACTATTGAAAAAGTAGGTTTTTATTTATCAAGGGATGAACTGTAAAGGTACTGGAGTATTTTCTGATTGATGGAATCAATAAATCCATGTACAAAAGAAAAAAGGTCGTAAGTGAACTGCCTCAATTATGAGTCAAAAGCAGATACTAAGATTCAGGCCACCCACTCTCTTATTTGGGTTTTTGGAATGTCATACAAACATCTACCCTCCGTTTGCTCTGGCCAAAGAAAGGCTTGTCACAGTTTTCCAGGTTTTGGGTACACAGAATTCATGATAGTGTCATGATTTGAGCCTGCTTAAAAGTCTCCTTAAGAAGGATCTTGGACTAATGGAAGACAACAGGAGCTGGCCAGTAACTTCAACAAGAAAGGAATTTTTGCTTTATGTTCCACTATTAACTATTCTTACTGCTACCTCAAGCAACTTCTGGGTCAGCAA